TACTTGACATGTTGCTACACTGTACACAAACATCATCCTCTGATCGAATGAAGCCTCAGACCATTCAAAACAAAACACCGACATCGCTTTTTCGAATGATAGCTGCAACCGGATGACGGTTGTTTTGAAGTCAGATGATTTTCCTCTCGAATACAGAATGAAACTTGTTATGAGAAGCGATAGGGCCTTCAGTTGAAATGCGTAATGCTCTCTGCAGAATGAATGTCATACTAAATGTAAATGCATATGGTATTGGTTCAGCCCCATAACGATGATGTAAATAATTCTATCGAACATCATTTGCTGATCTGAGCTGACAAACGAGGTGGAAGCATATGCTTCGTTATCAGAGCTGTTACGAACATAGTTAAAGGATGAAAACCAATGTTTGGCTAACTCGTGGTGGAGGAGGTTTTCTCCACCACGAAATTTTTTTGCATCCATGGAATGGCTTATTATGGGGGGGGGGGGAGGTAGCTCATCGATTCTTCCGGTTCGCCTCCTAGCATCGTGCTATAAGGTACCAGGCGATAACCAGGGTAGTTGATCGGTAGCTCGATGACGTCATTTCGTTGGCGTCTGTAATGGGAAATTCTCATAGTAGGCATTGACGATGGGACGTTGTCGAGTTGTTGAATAGCAACTATCGTGGTAACTCACCGATTAAATGTCGATCTGCCAAATTTGGAAAGACGTCTGCATTGAATTGTCTCAAATAATAATATTCCGCCCAATATATCACAAGAAATTGCGAGTAGCTGAGTGGAATGGAGATAAGTTAAGCATTGGGTACAGGACCAAGTCTCCCCTGGGTGGTGCCAAAAGATGAGCGCAATAGAATCATCAAGTTGCCATAAGGCACGGAATGAGACTATTGCATGGCTGGGTAGTCACAGTATTCCATTCGTTAGTCATTTCAGGTTTAGGTTTAGGGTGGGCGTTGGCCAGATTTGGATTTTTCAAATATAATCCTAAATAGGACCTAGATTATTTAATACACTAGTAACCTCAACCTCTGTCACAATGTTGCACTGGACGATTCGGAAGACATTGATATTTTGTATTTGAGATAAGAAAGAGATAGGATGCGGAGGGCCCGCTTAGGGGGAGCGTAACCCATGTTATGGCTTCCATTTATTAAATAGTTCAAATAGGCTGGAAATGATAGGTTCATGGTGAGAAAATGTACCATATGGTGTCCGTTAACTGAACGGATTTGAAAGATCGTTGGTTGCAGTGGCTTGCTTACTGAGCAGAAAAACGCGGTCCCAGGTCCTTTCATATTAAAAATCTATGGTAAGATCGCTTGTTTATCGTGTATTTAGCTAAACCTTTCGTTGTCGTCGGTGCCGGGTTTGAATAGTTATAACAACTTGAGTAACGGTATGATGTGATATGAGGGGCTCGGTGGCCTTAGAGCAACCGTTTTTGCTTACTGAGCAGAACATCCTGAGTCTAATCTCAAGCCCATCCACATCAAGATTCGTCAATCGTTTTATTTGTTAATATGACTACATGGTAATAACAGCAACTCGATGATTAAAAAGGAGCTCGTTTGCCTAGTAGCAAACGTTTTTGCTTACTGAGCAGAAGACCGTGGGTTCAATCCCAAGCTCCTTCGCGTTATACGATCGTTAGGACATCAATTCAGCTTATCGTTTATCAAAACGAACCCTGCTGCAAACACAACCCTATTACCCGATATCCCAGTGATTCCTCGTTGAAGTGCAGAGGAGTTCTCGGCTTCTATCAAAGCGAGTGTCACGTCAACACATTCCTACCCCTTCCTTTCTTGACCTGTGTTCGGGCGCGGCCGGCGCTGGTATTGCCAACAATCAATACGAAACTATCGATTTGAAATTGGCTCACTACTTGACTAGCCTATTGGTCCAAAGCAAATCGATTAACGTACTCCATTCTAATCAAAATTCTAGTACTACACAATGTTATCAAAACGCTATGAAAGTTTGACAGATAAAATGAGGGGTTAGTGGAATTTCCTATGTTTCGAGGGGTGAATCGATTAGCTTGGGACCGAAGATAGTACCAGAGCTGAGCCAAAAAGTAGAGCTCGTTTCTTCGGGACCTACTAGTCTTAGAGTTACCTCTATGGTATTGCCTAGTTTGAGATCACTAGTTTTTACACATTGAGGATGATTGCTAGTCCCAAGCATCGTCTATTGGTTCTCTGTGTAATTACAGCTGGTCTGGCAATAACAGAGTAGCAACCGTGGGCGGTCAATCATGCTCATGCTCATGCTCATAATGAAATGGCTTATTATGGCCATGGAATTGTAGATAATCAAATTATAAATCTAATTAAAAGCACTTGCATGTCACACTATTCTTAAATGTTTGTCCTCTAAGTACCGTATGTTTTATAGCTAATTTTCAAACGAATATCATCCTGTATTTGGATGACAGTCATATGGATGTTCATCATCTGACGACGAATTCAACCTTAAGAAAATCATCCGAAATTCGAATGCATATTGTTAAAGGGCTCGAGCAATGCAATAATCATTCGAAGTATTGCGGATGTTTTGGTTCAGTGTACATAAATAGTTGAATACATAAAATTTGTTCTACTCTTCAGTACGACTACGGCCTATTTCCCCATGATTGGTGCATTATGCCTGATAAGCATCAAACTACTACTTTATAGATATGCGAATATAGGGTCGACAAAACCCATCTTCATTGATAAACTTGTATACACCAAAAGGAAATGACAATCGCGACGATCAATTCTTACCGTAAATCACCCGAATAAGCGTCTATCATTAGTACTGGTGCTAGAAAACAATCCTATGGAAAATAAAATTCCGCTAATGTCTAAAAAGGCTGCACTCTACTTTCACGGCGATCGAAAATTTGCAACGAAAAAATGGAAGTGAATGTTGAAATACGCGTGGTTGTGTGAACTTTAAAGCGCACACTGAAAGCTGCATTGCAGGGTGAAGACGCAGCAGTATTAGTGCGGTTCTCTGAACTCTGCGATCCCTCGGTTCAGGTAGAGGATCTGACTACGCTTCTGAAGTACTCTGTTCAAGCAAACTTGCTGGTGGAGTGTTTTGCATGGTGTGTTTGTTTTTGTTTTTGGATCGATTTTTGTGTGTTTGTATTTTGTTTGAACGATCGTTTATTGACGTCAACACCAGCCGATTGTTTTCAAATTGTTATGATATCAGTAATAGGTGTTTCTTGTTTATTTTTTATTTTCATTGAGTAGTGGGTGCAATGCTGGGTGCAGTTGATCGATCTTCACGTGGAGCCGGGTTTGGCCATCGATTTCCAATTGCTCCACTGAAGATCGATGAATGCCTATGAGAGAGGGATGAAGAATGCGACTTTCAGATTTGATCAACTGAAAGCAAAATTAGAACGATAACATAATTCAAGAACCAATGGAACGAACTTAAATATGTAACTTGTTAATACTTTCTTACTACCATTTAAACTACTTTGCTGGCTTAGGTGTAATGAATTAAATAGATCAAGCATCTACAACTTGGGGGTGGTGAAAAATTGTTGAGTGTTAACTACTAGAGTGGTGGATTTGGTTAACAAAAAAACTAAGGAATATCTAATTATTTAGTAAATACTTTGGAATCTAAAAACAAATAAATACAGTTGAAAACGAATCTAAAACAATGGAGATGTCATGCTCAATGTGCTAAATTTAATATTATCTAAAAAAAACGTTTCATTTCAGCTCTAGCTAGCGAATTCCGATCAGGACAGGAAAGTTCTTCTATTCTATCAAGCTGGACTCAATTTCCATGAAGGTATTGCTATTGCCAATTCAGATTTTGATTTTTGGAACGTCCAATTTTTCTGTTACTTGGGCCAATTGGTGGCCGTGGTTGCTCTGTTTGAAGCACTAATCAGACACGCGGCCGGGATCGGGATAAACAAACCTCTCTTGGTCCCCAAAATACACACGGAAATCAAAGCACAAGAAAGTGGAGTCAACTATATAGTAGTACACGCTAGCAGCAATTACATGGATGGACGGACGGACGGTCGGTATGAAAGAAACTGTGAGGTGGGATATATATTTTGGTTAGTAGTTGGTCTTAAATTTAGATTCTATTCTAGAGAGGATGACAGTAGTATAAGAGAAAGAGATAGAACGAACGGGCGAGTAGGTTTTTGCGAGAGAGCAAAATAGAGAAATCGATATGAATTCCATCGAGCTTGACAAGAGTACATCGAAAACGTTCGGGTAAAGAAAATAAATAGAGAACGAAAATTCAAACATGACAAAAGATAGAAACCAAACACCAAACCAAACCTATCAAATACATTGTTTGTTGTTTTTTTTTTACAAAACTACTGCAAATGTTGTGTATCGTGACAATATCATCGTGTTCGGTGTATCCATTTGACATCCATCAGTGTTGCCAGTTGTGCATCACAAAATTCGATCTAATCAAGTGTAGTTGATATTGTCACAAAATGATACAGGAAAAAGAGGGTGGTGTACAGTTTCTAACATCGATACCATTGTGGAGAGTTTGGGCAAAAACAAGAATCTTTGTATACAATGTAGTTTCTAGTAGATTTTACACACATGTACATTACGTAACATTGAAAAGAATGCTTCACAAAAATCAAAATCAAATAAAGTAATTTACCACAGCAAAATGAAAATCGATGAAGTGACAGGATGATCTCTGAAACCATTGAGAATGGAAAAAAATACGCTCGTTACAACCAAATCAAATGAAACTAAAACTAACACAACAAAATTGTTCGCGTGACATGGGGAAATCACCGCAGCGAACACACGATTGATGGTTCGAACATATGGACTTCGAACCGCACGTGAGGCGTTAATGGATCGACAATGTATGGGCTAATGATGATGATGATGATGATAATGGTGGTACATGAAATGATGACCATATGTGTTTTTTGTTTTCTTCTTATTTTTTTTTGGTGTTGAATCGATTTGTGGATTGCTCAGAATCCTAGCAGCGTGGCATTGAAATTACCTCCATGATCACTAGCTCTACTATGCCGACCAGCAGCTTGCTCGATGATATCGTTTAACACCATCACGTCTAAAAATGAAGAATGAAAAGGGGTTATCATTTGTCGCGAATGGATATTTAACGAGGACAACAGTTACCTTTCATATCTACTACGGTTTGTGTTTGAGAGGGCTCGATGAAAGGATTGTCGTTGTGTTTTATTTTGCCAGCTTCGTCTGTACAGTCTTGTGACATATCCTGGAAAAGGTGAAGGAAAGTTGTTAGTTAGTTAGCTGAGAAATTTTCGACCTTCGATCAATAAGCCGATGGAAATGGTTGCTGCGTTTGTTGGCTATCAGATGTCTTCTTCTTCTTATTATTATTCACATTTCAAGCTTATTGCTTAGCGCATATTAGCTTATTGCGTGCTCTCAACTTAGTGTTCTACTAAATGCACTTCCACAGTTTATTAATTGAGAGATTTCGAAGCCAATACCAATGCATGAATTTGTATATTGTGTGGCAAGGCAAGCACAATGATACTCCATGCCCAGGGAAGTCGAGCAAATTTCCAACCCGAAAGATTCCCTCGACCGGACCGGGAATCGAACCCGCCGCCTCCGGCTTGGTAATACCATAGAGATAACTCTAAGACCAGAAGGTCCCGAAGAAACGAGCTCAACTTTTTGGCTTAGCTCTGGTACTCTCTTCGGTCCCAAGCTAATCGATTCACCCCTCGAAACATAGGAAAAACCAATAACCCCTCATTTTATCTGTCAAACTTTCATAGCGAATCAAAACAAACATTGTGTAGTACTAGAATTTCGACTAGAATAGGGTACGTTAATCGTTTGCTTGGGACAAATAGGCTACTAAAGTGGTGAGCCAATTTAAAATCGTTAGTTTCGTATTGATTGTTGGTAATACCAACAATCAATATTAAACTATCGATTTGAAATTGGCTCACTACTTGACTAGCCTATTGGTCCCAAGCAAATTGATTAACGTACCCCATTCTAGTCAAAATTCTAGTACTACACAACGTTTGTTTTGATTCGCTATGAAAGTTTGACAGATAAAATGAGGGGTTAGTGAAATTTCCTATGTTTCGAGGGGTGAATCGATTAGCTTGGGACCGAAGATAGTACCAGAGCTGAGCCTAGACTAGATTGGGGTACGTTAATCGTTTGCTTGGGACCAATAGGCTAGTCAAGTAATGAACCAATTTAAAATCGTTAGCTTCGTATTGATCGTTGGTAATACCATAGAGGTAACTCTAAGACCACTGGGTCCCGAAGAAAATCATTATTATTTTTGGCTCACTTAGTACCAGAACAACGGTCCAAAGCAGTGGCAAGCTATTTCACTCTCCCCTGCATGTTCTGCATGAATCCACACACCCCTGATGTTATCTGTCAAACTTTCATAGCGAATCAAAACAAACATAGTGTAGTAATAGAATTTCAACTAGAATAGGGTACGTTAATCGTTTGCTTCGGACCAATAGGCTACTAACAACAATCAATACGAAACTAACGATTTTAAATTGGCTCACCACTTTAGTAGCCTATTGGTCCCAAGCAAACGATTAACGTACCCTATTCTAGTCGAAATTCTATTACTACACTATGTTTGTTTTGATTCGCTATGAAAGTTTGACAGATAACATCAGGGGTGTGTGGATTCATGCAGAACATGCAGGGGTGAGTGAAATAGCTTGGGACTGCTTGGGACCGTTGTTCTGGTACTGAGTGAGCCAAAAATAATAATGATTTTCTTCGGGACCCAGTGGTCTTAGAGTTACCTCTATGGTAATACCGTGCCTTTACTGACTAGGCTATCAGATGCCACTACTGTTGTTTGTGGTGGTATCTGTTAGAAATTACGCACAAACTGCTTTCCGTTAGTTGTTAACAGTCAACAATCCTAGAAATCCGTTTCACATACTTCTAGATAGAGCTGAAACTAGGGCGTAACAGCCTTTGTAAACAACGACTTCTCTCGATGATTTCTAGGAATTCAAGAAACGCCTACATAAAGCAACATATCCATCGAGTAGGGGAAGTCTTCCTTCATCGAGTAGGGGAAGTCTAATTCCAGCTCTAGACTTGAAGTACCTGACACTGCAAAGCATGGCTGGTATCTATGTATGCAATTCACCCCCCGAGTATCTAGACAGAAAATCTTAGTTTCACGTAGGGTTTTTGATCTAATTTCCGTCGTACTAAGTACAACCCATGCTTTATCTCTCTTTTCTGAACGAGTTTAAATAAAAAGGGGAATATTTCTGTCAAATACGACTTCTAAATTTATTCACCTTTCCATACGTACCATTAGATTTGATAAAGAGTCACAAATTATTGAGATATTGCTTGAAATCTAATACTGCTTCTTGATTCTAAATTCGTCCTACGAGTTTCAATTCCGTCCAAACGCATTGAAACGCCATTAGATTTTCTTCGTCCTACGGATAAACATAGAAAAAGGGGATTCGCTAGGAGCGCTTCTTTTGTTTTGAGAACAATGAGCGTAAATATTCATACAATGCGATCTACCAGGTTTCATGTTGTAGCTAATGAACTAACGCATCGGAACAAACCTATTATTGATTTGTGCACGGTGAAACCATTGATATTATTGATCTTTTCTGATCGATAGAACGGAAATGGGCGATTACGACGAAGTAGCGCTCTACCCTACCCACTTACAAATTGTAGATGTCTCCACCGTACGTAAACAATGGGTTCAGCCATCGTTGGTGGCACAACTTTTTTCACATCAGAAAACATGTTGTTGTTTCACTTCATGTGGACGTCGAAAGCAGGTCAAGAATAAATTTTGAGTGAGACGTATTACTGATGTTGCATTATTTTCCTCATATCTTGGAATTTAATCGATTTGATGAAATCAAAATTCATTATTTGGTCTGGTTTGGTTAATTCCTCGGGGGCATCTGGGACATGCCCGGAACTGACCAATGTGATCCACGGCGCTCGAAATGGCCACAATTGAATTGGTTAACATATTTTGAAGTAATTTGTTTTGTAACATGATAGGTTTTATTCCATACCGGTCAAATTTAGTATCATGGCTCACATTCCCCAAAACATGTTCCTGCCACATTTCCAGCACTAGTTGACCGATTCTGAATTTGTTCATTAAAGCTCTATGGACGAGGCTATAGGATCATGATACTTTTCATTTGGTGGTTGTTGCTTGCAATTCGCATTAGTTATTACCGATAAATACGACTTAACTCCAAAAATGCATGTTTATCGGAAATAGCTGACCGATTCTAAATTTGATCAACATCATTCAATGTGACCATAATACTTTTTGTTAGCTGGTTGCTTCGTTTAGATCGCGAATTTCGCGATTTTCGGGTCTTGTTCCGTCCATATCTCCGAGACCAGTTCTTCGATTGAAAATCTATTAATCAACACCCGTATTAACAATAACCATAAGAAGCGCCTAACCACCAATTCGGATTATCATACTAACTATATGTGGTATGGTCGTACCATCTATGATATCGTTAGTGAATGGTACATGTTTATTGGGGCATTCTATAGAATCATGGTACCTTTCATTTGATGGCTGTTGCGTTCAATTCGGTAGAGTGGTTGCCGAGAAATTCATTTAAGAAAAATATGTTACGCGCTCTCACAGATAGGCATTTTCCGATCCCGTTATGTTGAGTCGATTGGATAACTATGAGAAAAATATCAATGTTTTTACAAAAACAAAACTCAAAAACGTTTAAAAAAGAGTTGATCAAAAATAAGACCAATTGTAAATTTACTCCACCATTATTCGATTTGACAGAAGAGTACCAGAATTTTCGGGGTACATTGACTTTATACTGGTGCTGTCAAATAGCTCCCGGGGTGATGCAATTAGATTCACATTCAAAGTCCCTCCTTTTTTCAAACTTTCTAAGCCCCACTCCTACCAGGATTTCCCGCTGTTTTTATGAGCGGGGCAGGGCTTAGAAAGTATATTTTGTGTCGAGCAGTGATGATAAAAATCATTTCTTCTACACTAAACTTAGTTGAAAATGAAGACAACCTTATCAGATGAATTTGAATTTTCTTGATCAGGGCAACCTCTGAGTATCGAAGTCAACATGTGTTTTTCTTCATTCGTAGCTGGATGTTCATTATCTCCTCTGTTGTTATCAATATTAATATTCGTCTTCATCTTGGTGGGGATGTTTTGAGGATTAAAAACAAAATGATTATTTTCATTTTACACAAATATAGCGCTGAAGAACGTGTCGTGTTGGTTTTACACACAGATTGATGGAAAATAATTGATAATAATATTGAGGTTTTAGGCTCTGGGATCGACAATATTCAAAATAATCATTTTTCCCAAAATGAATTTGATTAACGTTTGCATTTAAAAAAAATTGACAAAAGATGTCGATTTTTCATAGATTTACCTTCACCCGCACTGACGAAACTACCCATACAGCATCAATCATAGTAACCCATGTGTCAGCAGACAGCTCTATCAGTCGAACTCTAACCGTGATGGCAAAAACAGTGAAGCAACTCCGTTCAGAAGTGTGCGCGTTCAAAGAACGGCACCCCGCCGCGTTGAAAACGGACATCGTGCTGCACTTTGTGGATGCCGGATACGCCCGTTCCGGCATCTACAGCATCTTGGCACTATTAGACAACAATCAGAGCATCGAAAGAAAGCCCGGTTCCAGACGGCCGACGACCCTGAGCGACAAGAAGCTCCAAAGGATGTTGAAGAGGAAGACCGAGGGAAAAGTGGCACATCGCTGCGTGCGCTTGGCCGGGAGATCGGTGCAACCGGCCAAACAGTGAAAAAGTACCTGGCGAACATGAACATACATGAAGGGCAGCGGAAGTAACGTCCACTGGTTTCGGAGCTGCAGGCAATGACGCAGCGGCAGCGGCAGCGGCTGAATAAGATGGTCAACTCGTTTTTCCCGGCGAATCGCGACGTGGCGGTGGTGATGGACGACGAGACCTATTTCACCCTGGATGGCAACGACTGGCAGGGCACTTCGTATTTTACTTCCCCCACGAAGGAAGTGAGCTCCGAGGTGAAGTTCATTTCACACACCAAGTTCCCCAAGAAGGTGCTGCTGTGGCTGACAATCAGCGAGAAGGGGATGTCAAAGCCGCTCTTCTTTCGCTCCGGACTGGCCGTGAACGGGGAAATTTATAGTACGAAATGCCTGCCGGAAGTTGCGTCGTTCATCAAGAAATACCATAAAGGCG